TCCCATCCAACTAATCTTTGATTTGCGTAGGCTTATTGCCTCAAAAACAGATATTTAATGACCGCTCTATACACGATTTTTTCCACTTTCACAAAAATACTTACTTCAACTCACTCAAACGTAACAACTGTGGGTCCAAAATGGCTAAAACTTTGGTGAGTAACTGTCAACAGATGAACAACGAAATTCACTAACTTTTTCTTAAGAGTGCTGCCACCTTCACGTTGAGGTCGACAACTATTCAGACCATCCTCGTACGTGCGCGCTCGATATAACAATATACATTTTTCATATACGGCGCTGCGTGACGCAATGCGCCCTTGATCCCCCTCTGAACTTGCAAAGGTCCTGAGTTTTTCCTCCTACGTATTTTGTTCTTGAATCTACCGTATTGCAATGACATCATCTACCGATTTCGACTGTTTTGCTGTACAGCACAGAGTAGACATGCCACAAATGGCAATTTCTAGGATACACATAGACCTCAAAAAAATAACACCAATTCCTTAAAAAGAAATTTTTAACAGAGGTGCCCTACACCCTCCCTTGTTCAGGAAATAACTACTAAAACATCAGTTGCAATACAAAAGAGACGTATGACTTACAAAACTTCTCAAGCTTAATCGAAAAAAGTATTGTGAATTTTCAGATAGGACAAAAAAGATAAAACACCAAAGAAAATGGGTTCGTTTGAATATACATCTGCTGCGTGGCTGGATTTCTCTAATAATGTGTCGAGCCCCATGATGCCTTATACATTCCGTTCAGTTATCTCTGAGGAGATAATTGATGTCTTCTTGAGGAATCGCATCCAAGCTAGCTGTACTTGGTTCCGAAGAGGTGCTAGCGTTCGTGGTGAATAGGGTAGAGAGGTCACTCTTTTTCCCTCAAGGCGGGTTTACATGCTACGTCTTATTGTACGTTTTGTGGGACAGGACAAATCCTATCTGATAAAACGTGACCCCAAGATCGTACATCTTGTCGCATCGAAATGAAATCCAAGGTCAGATTGAGAAACTGATGGGAGAAGCATCATTTTGCGAGAAGTGATAGGAGAAAAGGAAACGTCTAGACTCATGTTCAGAGAAGGCGTCCGATCTTGGCTCAGTGCAGGAGTAGCTCATCCACTTCAGTTCACTTCCCTTTTACCCAAAAAACATAATAATGTGGCAATGTATCCACGATTTTCTCGGGGAATTAATTGAAATATATGTTTTCCGTGTTTGTGGCAAGTGAAAAATCAAGACTGTAGTGACCGTAATAAAAAAAACGTCGCGTATGACGATCTTATAAATAAATGCAAAGAAATAGACCCGATAGCAAATAAAGAGACTTTTACAAAAAAAAAATAAACTCGTTCAGATCGGTTTACAGAATAGAGTTGGAAAAAGTGAGGGCATCAGAAATCTCTGTTACTGACTCTTTGACAATAGGCTGAGGTGTCCATTCGCAAATAATTGCGGCAGTCATCAAGTTCGCTCCTCAGATGTTTCAATAACGTGGAAATACCGGCCTCTTTTCAGAGGCCACTCCCTTGACCATCTTGTCTTTTCCCTCTTCATCCCTTTTGCTCTGAGTTGTTGTATCCTTATAATTAAAAAAAAAATAAAAGAAAGCAGCCGTGTTTCCTCCAAAATAAAAAAGTGTCTCCCAAAAAATTCTACTAAGAAAACTACAAACAACTCAAGAGTCAAGATTGAAACTGTAGTAGAAACCGGAAGGGAAAACACGTAGTGTGTATACACTGGACATAACGGACGTTTTGTCGTACGCTTTGTATGCCCGACAAAACGTACAGTAAGACGTAGCGTATAAACCCGTCTTTATATCTCACATAGGTACAGTGCATCTGTAGAGCTAGAAGGGCAAGGAAGAAGGATGACCCAAGCGTTTAAGTGGTAATATTATCTTTTTGGATAATAGGCTTGTCGAACGTTTGGGAAAATGAGAAAACACAAAGGTCCTTGCGCCCTCCTACCTTTTTAATGGAAACTATAGGTACCTAAGCATCATATGTAATGGCGTCCCAAGCCGTAACTCTAAAAAATGAAGTCTGACGATTTTAACCTTTTTTACTTTTTTGTTCGTAGCTTCATCAAAATCTGACCGCAGCTTGTCAGGTTATAAGGGCCCAAGGATAAGCGGACAGGCAGATCGACGAAAATGGGTGACATAGTTTTTCGTGATATGCGTATCATATTACATAGAAAAAGGATAACATCTCATTTTCGATATTTGAAGTAAAAGTTAAAGGAGTAAAACGTTCATCACAATACTTCTATCGCTTATGCATGAGTGGGAAAATCACTCATTTTTCTCATTTTATAAGTGATCTTTTTAATACGAGGCCCGTTCTGTAACAGAGTCAGACAACCTTTATTTATGAACATAATTTGTACGTCAAAGAACGGTTTCGCCTTAAGTTTTGGAAAAATATGAAAGTCTGATGGTACCAACTCAGCGGTGTATGGTCCAGTAATTCCAACGAAACATTATTATCCAGTTGCGTCTATGTTCTTGCCGCAACGTAAGGCCACGCATACCGTGAAGCAGAATAACGCCCCTAGAGAGCAGGCCTTGCAGACGGATTTAAATAACGCGCCTACCCTTCAATAATGTTTCACGGCACCTCTCAGCATTTAGAGCAGGATGAACTTGTTTGCGATTAAAAACCAAGTTACCGAGTCAACTTTACAGTCAGTGGCATTACTGAGTGACATGGCGATAAGAATGGCAGTATAACCACAGAATCAACAGCTACAAAGACGTGAAACTAATGGCGGCGTAGTGAGAAACTGGCCAAAAGTGGCTGAGGTTGAACGGACATCACATGGTAGGATGAGCGGCTATTAGTACTTTAAAACTGGCCCTCGTAGATACGCCCCGAGGGATCGTGGAAATCGCGAATCGAAACCAATCAGGTTGAACTTACTACCCAATTTTCTCTTCCAGGACGTCAGCTTGCAAGTGAATGATGTCAACCAGATCGATGGAACAAAATACGGTGTGCTTACGCTTTCAACGAGATCGTTATGGAGATACGAGATAAAATCTGCACTCAGAGACGATCGCTGTACAAGTTTTTTTGCATTGTTGGCTGTGAGAACCAAAGTCTAGAGGCCATGATAAGTAAAGTCACTCGCAGAAGACCTTTCACCTCTTACGGTTGTTTTCGCAGTACCAACGAGCATTGCTCCTTAGAGCCCTCCTCGATGATGCAGCCGTGCGTTCAGCCTGCCAGACTGACCCGCCACGCTTCTGTCTCTCACCGTAAATCTACCAAACACCATACATCCATAACTGGCCCATTCGACCTATTCTTCATTCCAAGGCAGTTCAAAAAACAGTTAAGGTGTCCTTAAGCTCCTTATAAGCAGTCGCAGTGCCCTTTTACTTTTCCTGCATACCTGATCTGATTGACAATGACAACATGTTGCATATTTATCTGTCTTCCAAGTGGCAGGTTTTACTTCTTATCGCTACTATACAACGTGTTACAATAACGCCCTGAACGGTCCTGTACCACGCCGATCGTGTAAAGCAGCATAATTTCGAAAACCCAGGTAAAGTCCTGGACTGCCTGGGATGGGTATTTCCGCTCTCAAAAGGCTTCCAGCCCATCCAAAGCGACAAGCGGTCATGATACTTTCTGTTATTTTGAATGTAGCAGACATAACGCCCTCGCTCATCGCCCCAAAAATGCCAAATGGCTTCAGTAACGCGCAAATCCATCAGAGCTTGGGGGCAACAACGTACCTAAGCTACATTGACTTTATTTAGAGGAATTTAAAGTTATAAGTTCTATGTAAACCCTTAAACGACGTTTGATGCTCAATTTCCATTGAAATATTATTATTTTTTGTGAAATAAGTTAAGTTTTGAAAATACAGTGTCTAATTAAAATAAAAGCTGTAGTCCCAAAGGTGATTTATACATGGTTTAAACCATGTAATAATTTGGGTGCTCATTGTTAGAGTTGAAGCAGCACAATTCATTGTTTGCGTAAATGCGTAAAACTTATGTTTTTCCATTAGGAGCGTGTCAGTAGGTATATCTATTAGGGTGGGTCACTTTTATATGTGAAAAAAAATGTTCCTTTTTTTCATAAGCTCAGTGACAAAAAGGTGCTAAATCATGAATGTGAACATGTTATGAAGTTTGATTGCAATCAGAATTAATCTTCTGCCTCCGGAATCATGTGGAAATTGTCAAAGATGGGGTTAAAGGAGGTATAACTGCGTGGCATACAAAGTCACACTAATGAATATAATTTACAAATAAATGTCTTGAATGAATAGTAAGTAAACGTTTATTGAACAGAAAATAATGTTTACAACAAAAATAATAATGAATAATCATTGAGCGAGGGGTTTATTTTGTAGATAAATCCTTTTTGCTATCAAATTTTGGCATTGCTTTTCTCGAGTCCATCTGGGCTTTGATGAATCCCTCTCTCATTAGCTTATTGCACAAAGTGGTTGAGGCCTCGGTTACAGCTTTGACTGCTCTTTCTACTGCTTGTGTGTGACAAGGAAGGCGTAAGAAATCCAAGTCTCTTTCTCCTTTCTGTTCAATAAATAATCGGAGATATTTTTCGGTTACAGATTTCAATAATGGTGGCTCAGAGATATCTTCTTGCCAATTCAAAAGATCATAATACGTTGATGCATTGAAGTTAATCTGTGGTAACTTAAAAATGCGCAAATCTTTAGTTGTTACTGATCTAGCTTTCAAAATGCGTCGTGCAGCTAATTCACGAATGTGCGGCTGAGAGTCTGTTAACATTGCGAGCAATACGTTTTCCGGATGTGCGAAATAGCTGTTTCTTTGAATTACTGGATCGACGATAGATTTCAAATTTGCTGGTAAATATCTGGATAACTCGATGAGTTTGAAAAAGTGTCGCGATCCATCTTTACAGCTAGAATGAGATTTTATAGAAAACCATATCGGAGCATAAACCTTGATAACATACGTTGCAAGAATAGTTAGACTTTCAGGCGGAGTCTCTACAGAAACATACAGACGGAGGATCCTGTTCGCACGAGTCAGCCACCTCGCATGCGACATTTTACCTGGTGATTTATTAGCCAAATCGCTAGGAAATACACCGGTTGAGATTGCTTCAACCATTCTGTACAAGTATCTTTGGTCAGTACTGATATCTTTAGCAGAAAGCTCCGGTAAGCTCGTTGGAATAGGCTTAAACTTGCTTATAGGTCTTTTTTCGCAGTTCTCGAGATCTTTGCCAATCGTTCCTGAAAATGTTCGTGGTCCAGAGGTACTACCATCAATATATTGGAACAGATGTCTAAATGGTAGTTCATTCATATGGAATAAACAAATAATCCATTGTAAGGGTCTACCTAACCGTTTCTCTAGCAGTCGTATAATACCGCCATATATGCCAACATTCACATTAGTTCCATCACATCCAATTGCAGTTAAATCATCGACGGATATATCAGCATTCAAGAAAAAGTCAAATATTTCATTTGCTATACACTTTGCAGTGCCTGAAGCAGGTGTAATATAGCCTAAAAACTCCGAATAAGGTTCTTTTATCAAAGAAATGTGCTCTTCAACTATGCGTTTTCTATAGTTTTTTCCTTCTATTTCAGACATCATTAGAGTCTGATCTTTTCTTCCGTCAAAATACAATGCGTGTATTTGTGAAACAGTTTGCTGTGAAACTATATTTTCTCTGGCCTTTTTTCGTTCTCGGCGTAGTTTATTTTTATCTATTACTTGAGAACCCGACGCATGTAGAACAACTGATGCGATAGCTGCTCCTGCCCTATCCGACACTCCGAATCTATCGCATGTTTTTGATAGCAAAGTATAATCAAGTCTAGTGTCACTCTTAGATTGACCACTTGAAGTCCTCAACTTGATTTGTGTTGGTTCTTCAGCATCGGACTGAACACTTTCGGATTCAGAAGTGCTACTCAGCTTTTCCGTACATGTTTCGGTTTTTTTCAGTCGTTTGCTCTTAGAATTTTCTCGTATTGACTTCCTTTTCAGTGTTTTTGTAATTTTTGTTGTTGTGACAACATCTAAGGCACCTATCACCATTTGCCTAGCGGTTCGTTGATCAGTTATAAAGCCACGTTCTCTTGCAGGTATTTTCTTGTTTTTCGGGCAAGCACATTTGAGAAACTCTTGACACTTACAAGCCGAAATATCAAACAAGGCTTTACTCCCAAGACGAAACCCTTCCAACGTGTTTTTAGGTATTCTTGGATTAGATTTGAGGAGACTTTTGCATTTTAAGTGATACGTTTGTAACATTACCTTCATTCGTTTGGGTTCAACTGTAGGGATAGAGGATTTTGCCCATATTTCTATCAGTCTTGCAACTACAATGGCCTCTATTTCTTTATATGTTGGCTCTTTATTTGTTTCTCTCTCGTATTTCAACCTGTGTCGGGTCCACTCATAAAATCGCATTACATCCCCATAGGTTGGCAATACGTTGTCTTTCAAGTCATTTAAATCACCAAATATCGGACACTTCCAACTATTTCGAGTACGTTCCATTTTTCTGACAGCGAAACTTACACGTCCGCACTTTCTAATGCAAGATACTGATTGCGATGAACTGTGCGCGACTTGTCTTACCCGTGTGTCTTACCTAACACCCCCACTCTTACCCCTCCCTCTCCCTGGCTACTTGAACTCAACCAAACAGTAGCTAACACTAACGCTTAGGCAACCAAAGTAACAGGAACCATAATCGAAGATGCATAAAGAATTAGTAAAGTGACGCCCGAGGAGACGCTAGAAGTTTACGTACACACAATGCTTTAGTACAATCCGGAGGCAATAAAACTCAGAATTATGTAATAAAATTTTACATATGAACTAACGGCACCATTTGGCACCTTTTTATTACTGAGCCTTTTTCAAAACCGAAAAAAAAATTTTTTGACCCACCCTAATATCTATACGCTTCCAACCGACGCGACAGTGTCTAATTAAAATAAAAGCTGTAGTCCCAAAGGTGATTTATAAATGGTTTAAACCATGTAATAATTTGGGTGCTCATTGTTGGACTTGAAGCAGCACAATTCATTGTTTGCGTAAATGCGTAAAAGTTCTGTTTTTCCATTAGGCGCGTCTCAGTAGGTATATCTATACGCTTCCAACCGACGCGACACGCGATCGGTCGGAACGAAGGCAACCTTTATACGCCAGATTCTGTGTGCATCTGACTGCATCGCCAGCGTTCTCAATCTGGAGTTATAGCATCATGGCTGGCGCTTATGGTATGGCTAACTGGTGTGGTTCAGCACCGTTGCCAGGTGGTCGATACTTAAGGCAGATAAGAAACTAGCGATAGCGGTATCAAATGGGAGTATGGACTAATTGTGTGGGTCTGTTTGGCTCACTTGACCTATTTAATTTTTTTGTTATACGTGCATCTAGCTAGTTCAGTAGGACTAAATTGTGCTGAACGGCATCCTTTAAGAACTGATGACAGCGTTGCGTATGGAGTGCAGAGTCAATCTACTGGTGCCATTGTTCTTTTTTTAAATCGCTCCAAAAATGGTTCAATTGCGTAGACGTTACTCCTACCTTCATATCCTATTTACCCCTTTATGTAGCTTCGTTACTAGCGTTCAATGCAGTAAATGCGGAGGGCTTCGAAAATGTAGACAAAGTGTAATGTTCGCCGAAAGAGAGTGCAAACAAAAATGTATCCGCGAAAAGTGCGAATCGATTTTCGATATCCGCGCAATCAGGCTTTATTGTTACGGCGGCCATTGTACGGCGAAAATCTAATTAAATCTGTACGAGAACAGAACAAAATTGAATGAAGCGCGATGTGTGATACTTACAGGACGACGTTACTGAACAGTACGAGAGAGTCCACAACTCTCTTCAAAAATATTGTCAAGTAGGTTGAGTCCATCCGTCACAAGTGATGCCGTCATCAATTCATAGAGGATTACCTGCGGCATAAGTTAGTTCCTCTGAGAAAAAAGTTCGCTGCGGACATGTATAACAAGAAACAAAAAATGGACCAAGCCAAACAGGCTCATATAAACAGTTCAAGTTAGCACCTTTTTGACAACTCTGCAATATAGAAATTCCTCCCATGCCCTACCGACAGTACCAATCATCTGGCAATGTTGCAGCGATCAGACGCTAAACCTGCGCGCAGGTATACGTTCGGGGCGTTGCCGTGCCCGTCATCCGCGACGCGTGTGTTGAAACCATTCATCTGTCATTTTTAAGGGAAATGTACGCGGAAATCTATGATGTGTGAAATATGTCTAATAGGCGCGTAGACTATATGGGTTGGAGGCGTATAAATATATTGAAGCCAACAAATTATAGCCATCTACCTTCGCTATCACCTTCAACGCCCAATTTTTAAGCCCTACACAAGTTTTTCAAAAAAATATAAGGATTCCCCAAAACGTCAAAAAGGCGAAGTTTGAGCGATATTTTTTCCGTTTTCTGATCTTAGCTCTGCCGACGCTTGACCTACTCATAATTAAAAATAAAATAAAGTAAAATATAAGTCCAAAAACTACAAAACTTTTTCGTCCTTGGTACTGTAGTAACCAGTAACCTTGAGTGAAAATTTCATTGAGATCCGAGCTTTATTTTCCAAGTTATTGACGAACATGTATCTATAATAGGCTCATAAAATTTGTCCATTAGATATTTTCCCGCCCTACCGTAGTACCGGCCACCTGGCAACGTCGCCTTTCCCCATACTGGACTACTTTAATAATGCCAGGACACTTATCAAGGCTGACATGCCCGCTAGTGAACGTTTTAAGGGCAAATGTACGGGAAAATCTATGATGTGTGAAATATGTCTAAATAGGTGCGTAGAATCCCCGAGGTTGGGAGCGTATAAATATATGTACTGACTTACTACTAAATTGAAATATATGAAATATGACCTCCCCCACCCCCTACAACCCAAACTTTTAACTAAAAAAATGTTTTTCTGAAAATGATCGAGAGCCTCTAAAACATCAAATATGAAGTTTGAGCGATTTCTATTCTTCCGTATTTGCCCTGTAGCTCCGATTTTCTAATTCTACAAAGCTGTTTCGTCCTTAGCACAGTAGCAATCATGTGTAAAAATTTTATCCAAATCCGAATCGTACATTCCAAGTTCCAGATGGGCTAAGGATTAGGACAGACAGACCGACAGACAGACCGACCGAGATGAGAGACTTGGTTTTTTGTGATTTACATGTCATATACTATGCATAAAATAGAATGTTTCCTTTTTGAGATGTTTCGCGATTACAATACTTCCTCGCCAGTTGGGGAGTAAAGTAAAGTAAAATGGCAGCATTGGGCGATATTGGATTGACCAGCTTTTGCCAAATGTATTTCTCCCTCGATGTCCACTGCGATTTTGTGGGTACAATAATTTCATGCCAAATGGTGGTGGTGAGCAATAAAAGTAAACTATTTTTTTAGGTTATCAAGGTTTTCATTTCAACTTATCCGTATATACTTTGTTAAATAGTAAATGGCCATGTTTCGCAAAGGGAACGTGGCTCACAACAACAGTCTGCCCTATACTCATAAATCTAAAGAAAAGAGGGCAGATTTAGTATCCTAGTCGTATTCCTTGATTTAACTCCCTGTTGTCTGTCCTAATGGTCTCCAATTTTGTACACCATTGCGGCCATTTACTACTTAACTAAAATAGATAACTTTCCTTAGTTTCATTTCACGTGAGTTAGATTTACAGTTTATGTCTTACGAAGAAAACTGTTTTGGAACACCTGATGTTTTCTACCGGAACGCAATTTTCTGACTCACTACCATCCATCTGCAGTGCATGTTATTATCGGAAGTAGTTTTGCCTTTCTGATGAATAATAGAAAATTATTTCGGGAAGTCCCGCTCTCAGAATTCCGGGAAAGAGTGAAATTTGAAACGGACAGAAGAACCGGAACGAAAAAAATTGTACCAGTTTGTTTGTGAAAAAATATGAATTCTTACTTAGCATTTTGCCCCAGAATTCTCAAATTTTTTAATATTTAACTTAGTATTTTTATATGATCGCATGGTTGCAACACCTTCTATTTCAAATCTATAATAATTCACACTGAGACTCTGAGACTACTGAGTGCTACTACAGTTCTACGTGGGACACTCCGTACAGGCTAAACTAGCTGTTAGTTTAGAGTTTTGATCGGTT